AGTTGGAGCTTCCGGGTGCTCCTCAAGGGGAGCCCCATGTAGAGAGCGTTACAATAGTCCAGGCGGGAGGTGACGAGGGCATGAGTGACAGTGCGTAAGGAATCCCGATCAAGAAAGGGACAAAACTGGCAAATCAGGTGAACCTGATGAAAAATCCTCCCGGTCACGGCCATCAAGTGCTCTTCTAAAGACAGCCGTGAATCCAGGAGGACGCCCAAGTTGCGCGCCCTCTCCATGGGGGCCAATGATTCGCCCCCAATAGTCAGTGATGGCACCAACTGACTATATCGGGACGTCGGAAACCATAGCTATCTGTTCCAACCCCTTTTTCTTCTCCCCAGCTGTCTCCCTGTTTCTCCCATTTCCTTTTCACATCTTTTAAAGTATTTTCCTTCTGTTCTGATCCCTTATTCAGTATCAATTTTAATGATATCTTCTTGTTGTTGTCTTCTTCTTGTTGCTTTCCCAATTCTGCTGTCTCCTCAGGTCCTTCTAATAGTTCCGTTCTTTCCTCTTTGTCCTGGTCTTTACTTGTTGTTCCTTGCATTATATTTTCCAATTTTTGATCTATACGATCTATACACCCAAATATTTCCATCATCTTCTTATGTTGTTCTTTTATGAAATCCTTAATTTCTTGGTACATCAGCTCCATTTCATTATCCCCACTTACTTCCATTTTAGTCAATCCAATTTAAGAAAACCAGGGGGTTATACACACCTCCTCCAATCACTTTTATTTGCTCAACAATATTCAAGGGTCACTTGGCTAAAGGTCTTGTTCATTGTATAAATCTTCAATAATTTTAAAGTAAATACTTATAGTCCAGCAAATGTGGAAGATCCCAAAGTTGCATAGTTCTCCTTTTAGCAGCAGATGGCACTCAAACTTCAAGTTTCTGCTTGCTCTGTGTAATGCTGATAGTGCACTTTTAGTTGTTTTAAATTATACATCCAAGATGTGGGCAGAATTAATAATAATGAAAAACAAGCTTCAGATCTAATTCCAGTATTTTTTAAAATACCTTTTCAATCCCACGACACATCTGAAAATTGAGAGTTCATTTTTTTTCCTTAGTTTTGTTTAAAAAAAAAAATCTCTTCTTAAATATTCTGGGTTTTTTTTTTTAATGTGCTTATTTCGCCACTAGCAAATAGTTCAAATATACTTCCCCCTTAACTTTCTTGGGATTAATTTTCAATAGCAAATATTCTCTTACCCAGATCACACACCACTCACTTTCTTCACTCCTGCACAGTCTTATGTATTCAGGCTGTCTTCGGCTTCATGGCAGCCATGTTTGCTGCCACTACTCCTTGTCATTGACAGAGGGGCTTTCTTAGTCAGGGAAGGGAGATGTGACTCCCCTCTAACTGCTAGGCACTCCCCCTTTACTTCGCCACCTGTCCAGAGTGGCTATGGTCCCGATTTGGACCCTCCGATAAGGAGAGGTCAGAGCAGGTCGTATAGCTTGGAGTCCAGATTTCCAAAGGTGCCGGAGGTACAACCAGAAGTCCATTAATTATGATTATTGTTGTTGGTCTCACAGTCAGCCAATTGTTTAGACTGGATTTGGGATTTTTGTCTTCCTATCAAGTCCTACTCAAGGACCTGATGTTGTTTGATTGCATTAAAGGTATTGTCACAAGATGTAAGCAATTCCAAGTATGATTATTATTATTTATTTACTTAAAGAAATTATATAGCTGTCCATCTGATAATCAGCTCTTACTATCTGATTAGAAAAACTGAAGGAAAATACTTAGAAATATTTTCATGTCTTCTGAAAATTGCACTTTATGGGCATGTATATGCTTTTTCATAATGGAAATAATGAATCGTGGGCATGATTTGGCAAAGGACAAGAACAAACTTTCTTTATTAAAATTCTGTTTTCACTTTAGATCTGCAGTATAGTTTGCACAGTAGCTACATGCTTCTTTTGATAAAGTTTGTTTGAATATTTTTTAAAAATGTTTTAAAAAGATACAAGACACAATTTAATCACTGGAAGTGTGTTAGAGTTATTTTTAGGTTCCAATATTTTCATTCATATCTTATCATGCTCACATAATGTATGTGCAACTTTAGCCTGCAGCTTCATCTGTTTTCTCAAAAGTAATTATCACTGAGTTTAGCAAGGCTGACTTTCAAGTTAGATGGGGATGGAATTGCAGAATTAAGGTCACCTTTTGCAGCTATGCAGAAATGTTGGTTTCAGAAGTCAGAGAACTGCAAAACAGTTGCAAAGAACCCGGTTTAGATGGACCCCCCGCTCCTCCATCTCAAAAAGCCCATGACTGCCATCATACCAAGCCTTTTTTTGGCAAAATTAAGGATGGCGTTGAAAATAAAGCTGAAGCTATTTTCCAATGTCTTTTTTCTTTATTCAGAAGTCCCCTGAGTAAAATCTCTGCCACTTTCCTCTGGTGGAGAATGTCAGTCCCTGTTGACAACTTCTGTCTTCTCACCTTCAACTTCACAGAAGCATGACTGGAAATCTGGTGAAGTCTATAGAGCAGTTTATTTTGCTTGTCTGGCAGGGAATTAACATCATTAAAGGCCTTTTTACCTGGTATAAGGTGTTATATTTTAGATGTATTCCGAAGCAATGGCTCTTTTTATTGCTCTTCAGTCATTATGTCTTGACCAACTCTTCATGACCTCATGGACCACAGCACGCCAGAACCCCATCCTCCATTTTCCCATAGATTTTGCCCAAATTCATGTTCATTGTGTCAATGACACTATCTAATCGGCTGGATTACTGTAACGCCCTCTACATGGGGCTGCCCTTGGGATGCACCTGGAGCTTCAGCTAGTCCAGAATGTGGCCGCGCAGGTTGTTACGGGAGCTTCTCCTTACTCCCGTGTAACACCTCTCCTGCGCGAGCTGCACTGGCTGCTGGTGGTCCTCTGGGTTCGTTTCAAGGTGCTAGTGCTCACCTATAAAGCCGTACATGGCTTAGGCCCGGGGTACTTGCAGGATCATCTTCTGCCATCCTCCCATCATCCTGTGCGCTCTCACAGAGCGGGCCTCCTCAGGGTGCCATCAGTCAGACAATGTCGGCTGGCGCCGCCAGGGGGAGAGTGTTCTCTGTGGGAGCGCCGACCCTCTGGAACGGTCTGCCCACTGGGCTTAGGACAGCCCTTGACCGCCTCTCCTTCCGCCGCGAACTGAAGACGTGGCTCTTTCATCAAATGGGCTGATCTGCTGGGGTGATTTTTACATTGGAATAATTTTAATTGGATTTTAATTTATATTTAATTCATATTGTTGAATTTTTATCTTGTAAGCCGCCCTGAGTCCTTCGGGAGAAGGGCGGCATATAAATTGCAATAAAATAAATAAATAAATAAATTAAATAATCATCTCATCCTCTGCCGTCCTCTTCTCCTTTTGCCTTCCATCTTTCCCAACACCAGGATCTTCTCTACGGAGTCCTCTTTTCTCATCAGGTGACCAAAGTATTTGAGCTTCAGCTTCAGGATCTGTCCTTCCAAAGGACAGTCAGGGTGGATTTCCTTTAGGATTGACTGATTGGCTCTCCTTGCAGTCTCAAGAGTCTTCTCCAACCCCACAGTGTGAAAGAATCAATTCTTCAGTGCTCAGCCTTCCTTATGGTCCAACTCTCACAATCACATATCACTATTGGAAAAAAACATAGCTTTGACTATACAGACTTTAATCAGCAAGATGATGTCCCTGCTTTTCAATATGCTGTTTAGGTTTGCCATAGCTTTCCTCCCAAGGAGCAAGCATCTTTTTAATTTCACGGCTGCCGTCTGCGATGATCCCAGAACCCAAGAAAATAAAACCTGTCAAGCTTCCATTTCTTCCCCTTCTATTTGCGAGGAAGTGATGGGACCAGATGTCACAATCTTAGTATTTTTTTAATGTTGAGATTCAAGCCAACTTTTTCAGCCTCATCAAGGGGTTCTTTAGTTCCTCTTCACTTTCTGCCATCAGAATGGTATTGTCTACATATTTGAGGCTGTTTCCAGTTTATATCATTGTATTAGATTATAGAATAAAATACAAAAATACAAAAGCAAAGAGAAGGACGCATAGGGGAAGGGAAGGGGAAAAGAGAAGTGAAGTGAAGTGAAGACAAAAAAGGCATTGACTTCCATCTTCCTCTGTTGCAGTAGAATAAAGCCTTAACATTGAACCTCAACTTTTTACTTTTCCATAATAGTATAAAACAGCCATTTCTATAACAACAAATCAATCAAATCAGTAAAACCCAAAATCAAAGTTTCATTTTTTTCCACCCCCAAAGTCCAGAAGCAACGAAAGCAGGGGTGAAATGCTCCTGGTTCGGACTGGATTGCCCGATCTGGTAGCGATGGAGGCGGATGGTTCGGAGAACCGATAGCAAAAATCCCTGCCCCCCCCCATGCCCAGCTGAGCTGCACAATCATCAGAGGCTTTTTTTCTTTACTTTTAAAAGCATTTTTTCTACAACCTCTTCGCCCCCCAAAAAATGCTTTTTTAAAAAAAAAAAAAAACCCTCTCTGATGATCGCGCGGCTCAGCTGGGATTGTCAAAGGCTTTTAAAAGAAAAAACCCTTTTTTTCTTTTAAATGCCTCTGGCGATCCAAGCTGAGTTGCCTGATCGACAGAGACTTTTTTTCTTTTAAATGCCTCTGCTGATCAGGCAACTCAGCTTGAATCGTCAGAGGCATTTAAAAGAAAAAGACCCCTTTTTTCCTTAAATGCCTCTGACGATCCAAGCTGAGTTGCCTGATTGTCAGAGGCATTTAAAAGAAAAAAAGTTTCTGCCGATCAGGCAATTCAGCTGGGATCATCATAGCCTTTTGAAAGCATTTTTTTACAATCTCTTCGCCGAAGAGGTTGTAGAAAAAATGGTTTTAAAAGAAAAAAAAATAGCCACGCCCAACCAGTCACATTACCCCCCCACCACCACCACCAATCCACTCCCCCAGAACCGGTAGTAACAAATTTTAGATTTCACCACTGAACAAAAGTACTTACATATTCTTTTCTTTGATCAAAGCGGTCAGTTTAGCCATCGCTGCCAACTCCATCAGCTTCTGCAGCCATTCATCCATGGTGGGAATCAAAGTGTCCTCCTATTTGAGGTGGTTGATATTCAGTGATTGTCTACAGTTCTTCTAAAATGAAAAGGGACCCCTTTTGTTCCATGAAGCCCAAACATGCCTCTTAACGGTCACGTTTGTTTCATAATCGTGGCACAAAATGTGAGGCAAAGATTCAAAACTCAACAGAAGTAAGACGTGCTTAGAATCTGACTTGGAGCATCACACGGTTCCCCCGAACTGACCTACGCAATGTCCCCCTTGGTTCAGCCCAGTGGAGCTCCATGTTGTCCTTCTGCCTCCATCGGTAAAGAAACCTCTAATGCAGATCATTGGGAGGAATTGAAAAAAAATTCCCAAAGGCATGCTAGGAGGCTAGTGGTTCCAGTTGCTCAGAGAGAAAAGGGAAGTGATTCTCCCCACTGAGAGAAGGACCAGCTTTCCTTAAAAGGGGAGAAAACTGAGAAATAAAATAAAGTCAAATAAAATGTTCCACTTCCACTTCTTCAAAGGAAGTAGCTCTGCTTTGAAGCAAGAAAAGTGCAGGGAGGTTTTGCCATCAAATCCAAAAAATAGATGCTTTTATGAGTATTAGAAAATTCCTAACTAACCCACCAGGCTAAAACTGTTTCTATTCATATTCCACTGAAAATTAGGACAAAGAGCCAACTAATATTAAGAGACAGAAATCATTAGCTGGATTCCCACAACACATTCTAGCTAATGATTTTTTGCTCATTGTTTAATGAACATTGTTTAAATAATTGTTTAATACAATGATTTTTGGGCTTCCGTGACCCAATCTGCTAAGGGATGTAAATCAATGATGATTCTGTTATATACATGTACTCCCCCTCTAGTGGTTTATATTCCTTTCAAAATTATGGTTTTGGGGAATTATTTGCTGTTTTTTTAAAGTCAGTAATCAAGTAAATAAACTCCTAGATCTGCAAAGTGTCTCTTCTGGATCTGGAATGGTAAATCACTGATGTTCCATTTATTTAGAGGTGACATTTCCTTTCCTAAATCATTGAAAAGACAGGTTTGGGTGGATTTTCTTCAGAGATTTAGAATCAGAATAGAGCTTCAAGGGACCTCAGAAGTCTTCTAGTGCAGCCCCCACTCAAGCAGGAGACCCTAGACCAGTTCAGACAAATGGCTGTCCAGTCTCTTCTTAAAAACCTCCAGTGATGAAGCGCCCACAACGTCTGAAGTCAAGTTGGTTCCATTGGTTAATTGTTCACTGTTAGGAAGTTCCTCCTCAATTCCAAGTTGTTTCTCTTCTTGATCAGTTTCCATCCATGGTTTCTTGTCTTGCCTTCTGGTGCTTTAGAAAATAAGCTGACCCCCTCCTCCTCTCTGTGGCAGCCCCTCAAATATTGGAAGACTGCTATCATGTCTCCCCTGGTCCTTCTTTTCTCTATACCCAAATCCTGCAATCTTTCTTCATATATATGTTCATATATATGTTCTATAATGATAGAACATGTAAAATAACATAATCCTTTCCCTCACTTTTTTTTTTTGGCTTTGTGAAAAATAACTTTAGCCAACAGAGAAAACAAACCTTGGTGCTATGCCAGGTTAACTCCACTGTATTAAGCAGAGGCACTTCTTGCAGCTGATTATCCTCAATTATTCAAAGATTTTAGCTTCTCTCACCAGGACTAACAGAGCTCTGATCTCTCTTTAAGAGATTCAATAGATCTCTCGATTTCCTGCTGGTTCTGTCCCTTTAATCTTTTAATTGTTCCAGGCCATAAATTGCCATTCTATCTATTGTTCTTTCAAGAACCAGGTGTAAACATCAACTTGGAACCCTGGTAGTGCAGCAGACTAAAGCACTGTTATTAACATCAGCTGCCTGCAATTACTGCAAGTTCAAATCTCACCAGGCTCAAGGTTGACTTAGCTTTCCATCCTTTCTAAGGTAGGTAAAATGAGGACCCAGATTGTGGGGGCAATAAGCTGATTTTGTATAAAATATACAAAAGTATGAAGGCTATTGCTTAACGCATTGTAAGCCACCCTGAGTCTTCGGAGAAGGGCGGCATAGAAATCAAATTAAAAAAAACAAAAAACTTGAAACTGAATATTCAAATGAGTTCCCTTCCTTCCTCCCTCCTCCCTTCCTCCTTCCTTCCTTCCTCTCAAGCGCTCTCTCTCTCTCTCTCTCTCTCTCTCTCTCTCTCTCTCTCTCTCTCCATCCCTCCCTCCCTCCTTCCCATCCCCACCCACTAAGTCCATGTCATTTGTGGTCTTGATCGTTAATCTCCTTGAAGCATTGAATGCTGTCAACCTTGAAAGATAATCCAGACAAGAAGCACACCCAGATGAACTAAGTCTACTTTATTGTAAGGTTACATGGACAGAATCTTGCAAGTGTAAAAGTGCATATCTTCGTCATCACCTTTACATCGGAAAAAAATAGGGAGAGTCTCTTCTGAGATGAGCACACACCTGCTGCAGACTAAGCTGTTGCCCTGGCTACACAGCCCTTCCCCATCTCCCAAGGCCACCCGCCTCCCCTCTACAGTTACAGCTGTTGAATGCTCACATACTTAACAAGAGATAGATATGTAAGACAGTAGGGATTTGGATTTATTGCAGAAGATACTTATTTTTATTGAGAGTTTAAAACAAATTAATTTACTGTCTATCTAAGTTATACTTCCTCTCCTATTCCCAAGAAAAGATAGAATCATGCACTGGTGGGATTCACACAAATGAGACTCCTTTATCCCAAGAATAGAAGAAATTGTGGGCACTCCATCACTGGATGTTTTTAAGATGAGTCTAGACAGTCACTTATCTGAAATGGTATAGGCTCTGCTGCTTGAGCAGGGGGCTGGACTAGAAGACCTCCAAGGTCCCTCCCAGCTGATTCATTCTATTCTAAATAGAAAAGTTCATTCTACAATTTCCCTCCTGGAAATATTGCACAGCAGAACCTGCACATGTGAGCAAGTTCTTCTTTCAAGAACAATTGGGAGAGAGTAGAAAAGGTTAAGGGGAAAAAAATAAATGAACGGAGGCTAAATATTGTGCAGAAAGGAGAAGAGGTTCATACCTTACCAACAGCAGCTCAGTCTGGCTTGCAAAAAGCTCAGGAAGAAGAGATTTCAAACTTTCCAAGACCCCCCACCTTCTCTATTGAAAGAACTAATAAAGGAGGGCCAGCAATTCCAAACATGCTTTTGTGGAGTCTCTCCTCTCCTCCTAATCCTTGCTTGAAAACATTTTATTCAGGTCTGTGCTAATCCCACTTGCTTGATTAGGAAATGCTTTGAGGAATTTGACAGCCATTTTAGAGTTTCTAACTAGACTGGTGACATATTATATTAGACATACACTGCAATTTTACATTATGACGTTGCATTGTGACTTCTTCTTCTTCTTCTCTTCAATAGAGAAGAGCTAATCAACTAGACATGACATTATGCAAAAAGGCCTTTAGTCTGATAGAAAAAGTTTGGGATTAGCAATAACAAAATGAGGACTGAAAAAAGAATTTCCATCCCCCCCCCCCGACTGCTCAAAATTCTTTTTGAGAGACCTTGTTTTGGAGTTTTGGAAACATGGCGCAGCAGGTCTCATGAATACCCTCTATCTGCCAGGTACGTCTATCTGAAGAACTGTGAGCAGAGGCTCTTGACAGTTCCCCAGTGATTTGGAGAGATGAGAGTTGGTGGTGACATAGATCTGTACAGAAGATGGATTGACGATCAAGATTAAAAGAGAAATATTCTTCCCTTATCCAGTCTGCACTACTGAAAATTAATATATCTCTTTTCCGGCGCCTTGGATTTTAGACTCCCGTGCCATGTTGGGTTGTTATGCAAAATTTCACAAGCGCTCCTTGAAGATGGTGAAGGGTTTTTGCAGCAGACAAACAGGTTTTCGTTTTTGAAGTTGTGACAAAGCCGTGTTACACTGGGACTGATTTATGTTTTCGGCTTTCTTGGGGAAACATTAGTCAGTGCTACTATATATCTTTTGTTTTCCAATATGTTCCTTTTGTTCAGTTTCGATCTGAATTTTGAAAAGTGTCAAAATTCACACAACATTACTTTTCTAGAATTATGGCTATTTCTACCTTTCCCTACAGATTGATACTTTTGTAGAAAACAAAATAACTCAACTTCTCAGAAACAGCAAATGAGGCTGCGTGTTTCTTAGGCTGAACATGGCCTAACATGTCCCAAAGGTGTTTTTTTTTTTCCCAAGAAGCAATTGGACTTCCTTTGTTTTTCTTCAGTTTTTCAGAGCTGAAGAAGCTTCTTGGATGAGAAGCTAAATATCTTCAAGGAAAAACTAAGGAAGTCCAGTTGCCTCTTGAAATAAATACTTTGGGGAAAACTCTGACCTGGATGACTGAGAATCTCCATAGACATGGCCTAACACGTTGCAACAAAGAGAAACATTTGGATGTTTCTTTCTTTCTTTTTCCAGAACTAATAAAGCGAGATGGAAGAATTCTCCAAAGTTTGCATTAAGGGCTGAATTTCCATTTGCCTTTCTTACTGCAACAGTTCAAGGTTCATTAAAAGTTGGCATCTTGATATATGTGTTCCAGGTTGGAAGGTTAGATGAGACATTTGCTCTTCTGATATAAGCCTTGGTGGCACAGTGGTCAGAATGCAGTATTACAGGCTAATTCTGCCAACTGCCAGCAGTTCTATTCTCACCAGCTCAAGGTTGACTCAGCCTTCCAGCCTTCCAAGGTGGGTAAAATGAGGACCCAGATTGTTGGGGGCAATATGCTGACTCCGTAAACTGCTTAGAGGGGGCTGTAAAGCACTGTGAAGCGGTGTATAAGTCTAAGGGCTATTGCTAATTATCAAAGTGTTTAGCAGAGACAAAAGCAAACATGTTAAGGGGCTGTCTCTGATAACATGCTTAACTAGATTAATGGGAAGGGAAGAAGGGCTAATATGCTATGCAAAAAGGCCAAAGGACTTAATCACCCAAGTTAACCTCCAAAAAGTTAAGGATCCAAACAGACTCAATTATGCACAGGATTAAACTAATTGAAACCAATTAGTCATGCTAGAATGTGTTACA